TATCTTATTTCCCCAATTGACCTGGTAGATCCCTAAAGTTAAGTCACTTCCCTATGCTATACCTCTAGTGTGTCTTAAGGAGTTGATGCTGATCTCAAAGTTGTTACAGCCAGATTGCTAGAGTAAGTAAACCCATGGCCTACCATGCTTCTTCCCTCCAGCACCCAACTACATTTTTGGAACATAGAGTTTAAGATCATCTAGTTCAATTACTTCATTTTATAGGGAAGGAAACTGAGACCCAGAGAAAGAAAGTGACTCATAGGACCCTAGAAGGGCAGAGGCAGATGGTGATGGTGGATGGGTGTGTAACTTCAACACTTATGTTGCACATAAATTTTCAAAAACTTTAAAAACCAGTTTAGCAAAAAAACAAGGCTAGATAGATAGTGTGACTATTAGAAACAGAAGCTTTTTCCCTTTCTTTCTGGTGCCAGCTGCTTCTCTAGGCACAGTTCCTGGTGATATATCTGGCTGTGTCCCTCCATTCAACAAGGACCACACTTAAGGTCTTTCAACCAACCACATTAAATTCCCCTTAAAGACAAATACCAATATTCTTGGCCCCCAGATGAGTTTATGGCACAAGCTGGCCTATCAAAGATGCAGTTTCACTTCCCTAAGGCCTGTCCTGGAAGCCACTTGGCAGGGAAATAAAACTCTGAGAGGCACAACAGTGCAAAAATAGAAAAGGGGGGGCACCCCTTGTTCTAGGCCAATGAAACCCTGCAAGACAAGTTGATTTGATCTGATATATGAAAAACTACAGTAATGGGTCCATGATTTAGATATAAAGGCTGATACTGTAAGCAAACTGGGAGAGCAAGAAATAGTTTACCTATCAGATTTATGGAGAACAGAAGAATTCATGTCCAAATAGGAGATAAAGAACATTACAAAATACAAAATGGATAACTTTGATTACATTAAATTGAAAAGTTTTTGCACAAACAAAGCCAATGCAACCAAGATTAGAAGGAAAGTAGAAAATTGGGAAAGAATTTTTACAATCAGTCTCTCTGATAAGGGCCTCATCTCTAAAATATATAGAGAATTAAGTCAAATTTATAAGAATACAAGTCATTTCCCAATTGATAAATGGTCAAAGGATATGAACAGGCAGTTCTCAAATGAAGAAATTAAAGCAATCTACAGTCACACGAAAAATGCTCTAAATCACTATTGATTAGAGAAATGCATATCAAAACAACCCTGAGGTACCACATCACACCTATCAGATTGGCCAACATGACAAAACAGGAAAATGATAAATGTTGGAGAAGATGTGGGAAAATTGGAACACTAATACATTGTTGGTGGAGTTGTGAAATGATCCAACCATTTTGGAGAGCAATTTGGAACTATGCCCAAAGGGCTATAAAAATGTGCATACCCTTTGACCCAGCAATAGCACTTTTAGGGCTATATCCCAGAGAGATCATACAAATGGGAAAAGGACCCACATGTAAAAAAATATTCATAGCAGCTTTTTTTGTGGTGGCAAAGAATTGGAAATTGAGAGGATGCTTATCAATTGGGGAATGGCTGAATAAGTTGTGGTATATGAATGTAATGGAATACTATTGTGCTATAAGAAATGATGACCAGACTGACTTCAGAAAAACCTGGAAAGACTTGTAAGGTCTGATGCTGAATGAAGTGAGCAGAACCAGGAAAACATTGTACACAATAATAGCTATGTTGTGCGATGACTAATATTGATAGACTTAACCCTTCTCAGCAATACAAGGATCTAAGATATCTCCAAAGACCTCATGACGGAAAATGCTATCCACATCCAAAGATAGAACTATGGAGTTTGAATGCAGATTGAAGCATACTAATTTGCTTTTTTTTTCTTCTTTTGTGTTTTGTTTCCTCTTTCTGGTGGTTCCTCCTATTGGTTCTAATTCTTACTTACAACATCACTAATGTGAAAATATGTTTAATAGGAATGCATATGTATAGCCTATATCAGACTGCATGCCATCTTGGGGAGGGAGGGGGAGAAAAATTTAAAACTCAAAAGCTTATGGAAATGATGGCTGATAAATCAAAATAGATTTTAAAAAAACAAAGTAAGCACTCATCAACTGCAGAATAGCTGCAATAGCTGTGGTCATAAGAATGTAATTGAATTTTACTGTGCAGTAAGAAATAATGAATATGAAGAATTCAGAGAAACATGGAAGGAGTTGTATGAAATGATACACAGTGAGATAAGCAAATCCTTTGTGGTAGTATATATAATGATTAAAACAATACAAATAAAAGATCAGTAAGAAGAAGTCAAACTCTGAGCAACTGAAAAGCAAATAATGGTCCCAGAAAGAATAGATAACTAAACATACCTCCTTCTTGGTGGAGTTAGGGAACTACCTGAGGAGAATGGTATATACATTGCCAGGTACAGTTGCTATAGCAGGTATATTTGCTTAGCTCCTTTTCTTTGTTACTAGAGAGTTCATTTTGGATGGGGTAAAGGAGGGAGGCTATTTCTAGAAACAACTATGATGTAAACAAAAAATATCCATAAAACTTATTTTTAAAAAACAAGTATCAGTGGCTGTTCCTGTTCTTTCTTTGAAAGAGTCTGGGGAAAAACAAACAAACAAACAAACAAACAAACGAATGAATGAATGAATGAATAAATAAATGAAAACAGGGGGAAAAAAAAGAAAGAGTCTGGGGGCAGTCTCATGAGTCAAACTTGGTCAGCTGGTCCAGGTCTAATTCCTAGGATGGTTAAGAATTTCCTTCTTATATCTACAACATCAATTATTTTATAAAACCATTTCTCTTTGCTTGATTTTCCATGGACATAAAGAGCAAGTGTCCAGCATACCCCGATACAAATCTTTCATATCTATGAAAACTTCAGTACATCTATAAAAACTGTTGTCTGATGGACTGCTGTGGAAAAGAAGAAATAAGCCTGTTTGACCACAGTGCTCTGCTTGGACCCAGATAGCAGAACCAGGACAACTATCATTCTGAAAGGGGGAAAGAGGAGGGTGGGAGGTAGCAGTGAACAGTGCTGTGTGGCTCAAGTAGAGATTGTAGTAGCTCTTGTAGAAAGCTTCAATGAAAGGAATCACTAAGCCTCTGGCTCTAGTCAAAGTGGAGTGAACATTAATCAGACTATTGGTCCATGTACTCTCAAACTATGCCACAAGGTAAGAGCAATCCAATTCTGAAACCTTGGCATTAACCTTACTCGCTCCCCACCCCTGCTCCATTCCAATTACTCACCAAAGCCTATCAGCCTTACCTGGAAATGTCCTTTGCTTCTATCCCTTTCTCTCTCTCCATGCCCTCTTACCCCTATAAGATGACAGCAGCTTCTTCCCCAGCCTCCTTCCTTCTAATCACTCCACCTCCATTTATCATGAACACAAACCCAGAGGCTCCTTCACATAGCACAGCAATATGTCCCTCAAGTGCATAGGAACCAGACATGATTGCCAACAACCTCCAAGAGTCAAAACACCTTAGTCTTACTTCTGAGGTTTTTCCATGGTTTGTAACCAATTTATATTTCCAGTCTTATTTTCTACTATTTGCCTACAAGTAGCCTTTATTCAAAATGGATTGTTCCCTGAAAACATCATGTCACGACCTTCCCCTCTAGTGGCACTGATCTTGCCATTCACCCTTCTCAGAATGTCTTCACTTATCCTCATCACACAACTAAGTTTTCTCTTTCAAAGTCTAGTTTCACTTCCTTCTCTGAGTTTTATCTGACTGTTCCAACCTTTGCTAATGAAAAGTAGTGCCTAAAACCAGGTAGTGTGTTCCAGGCTAAATTTGGAAGGATAGAACAGACCTCGTGTTTGGGCTTGTTTGGCACTAGATCTCTTCACCTTCCTCTGGACCTGTAATAGCATATTAATACTAAAGTACTCAAATGGATTTCTAATCCCATTTTGTGAGTATTCCCTCCAACAATACAGATCGCAACCCATCCATAATCATCCTCTGAAATTTCATGGCCTTCCATAAACTCTTCACAGAGGGGTGTACCCAGTGTGCTGAGGTTCTTATTTGATTTCTCTTGACATTGTAATAAACAATTGAACAAGCAGTATGTTACCATGACCCACAGCCAAGTATCATCACCAGAAGAATATTTATATAAAACAAAGATGGGTTTTTATTTTAGTGAGAAGCCCAAGGACAATAAATTTCCAGTTTCCCAGAGGTAATCTAGCCTGCTCCCCTCTTCCTGTTCAATTCTGTGCCCCTCTCATTGTCCAATTATAGTGTTTCACATCTATAAATCTATATTTACCCACCATAAATCTATATCTACCTACACATACATACATGCACAAAGATGGACAAGCTTTACAGGTTGCATATCCTACTACATATCATTGTCTGAATGACAGGCATTCTTTATCCATTTGGCTTTTCATACATGGATAGTTAAGCCAAACTCTTCAGAGTAACTATGAATCACTACAATATTCTAAGGGTTGAAATAGTCAGTACAATGTTACCCACAAACAAGAGCAATTTGTAGAACCTCACCATCTCTGGGAAATCGTCTCTCAGGCTGGACTCTTTTGAATTTACTCCAAGACAGCAGCAAACACCTTTAGTAAGTGTACATCTCTTTTATGCATCTCTTGACATTAATGATCAGTTTGTCAATATCCTTTCTAAAATGCACAGGAACTGAATAAAGAAAGTTTGCTCCAGCAAAGAGCTAGCAAAGACTAGCAAGTACTACTACGAGCTGGCAAGGAGAGCAAATATTATCCCCTCTCTCACTCTTTGGATACTAGGTCTTTATTATTAATACAGCTAAGACTGAAATGTTGTGTCCAACAATCTAAAACAACCCAAGATAGTGAGTTGCTGGCTGTTTCAGGACACAGGATAATTTCTTAGCTTCCCCAAGCATCCTAGGTTCAGATGGCTGAGGAAATAGCTACTCTCTTTCTCCCCAGCAGTGGTGCCCTTGGATTCCAGCCCAGTCCCCAGGGAGTACTCACAGAGAGGGGGTCCGAACAGCACTGTGTCTAGGGCTTTCAGCTGTAGCTTTTGCCTGTGACTCCGGTCAGTCATCTTAAGAACAGTACCTGTCATTGTTGCATTGGTAATTGCCAACCTATAGAGAAAAGAACAAATTCAAATTAATAAATTTCAATTCAACAAACAGTAAGTGATGCCAGGTCCCAGAAGAACCATGGGGAAGATGCAAATCCTACTTCCCATGATGATGAAGCTACTACCTTTGAAAACAGTCCATTTCATTTTTGAATAGCTCTAATAACTAAGATGTGTGTGTTTTTACAACAATTCTAAAATTTTACCCCTTTGCAACTTCTACCCATCTGTCCCTGGAACTTCCCTCTGGGACCAAACAAAATAAGTCTAATCCTTCTTTGACACAAGAACCCCTTCTTTGATTCCTTGAAGATAGCTATTAATTTTAGGTCTGCTCCTTCTTCCTAACCACCCAACAATCTTCGGTTCTCAAAGCCAAATATTCCAAATAACTTCAAACTACCTTCATAAATCAAGAATTTAAGGTCCTTTACTATCTGGTTGCTCTTTCATAGATATTCTCCAGATATCAATGGCCTTCCAAAAGTGTAGTGTCTAGAATAAAACCCATTACTCATGGTGTTATCTAACCAGGGCAGAATACAAGATTATCACCTCTTTATTTCTTCACATCATATGGATTTCCCAACCCCTAAATTCTAGTGCCTTCTCTCTTTTAATTATTTCCTATTTATCCAATATACAGCTTGTTTGTACACATTTGTTCGCTTATTGTATATTCCATTAGACTGTGAGCTATTTGAGGGTGTGGCCTGGTTTTGGTCTCTCTTCGTATACTTAATGCTTAGTGCAGTGCCTGGCACATAGTAATTATTTAATAAATGCTAACTAACTTGTGCCAGAAAGGATTCTCTAGGCTGTCAATTCTTTTACAACATTTCTTTCACAGATCTTTATGGAAGTATACTTCAGTAGAAAAAAAAAAGCGCTAGATATGGAGTCCAGAGAAAGATGGGTTAGACTCTCACACCTCTGAGTACAAACAAGTTACATTTTTCTAAGTTTCAGCTTCTTCTTCTATAAAATGAGAACAAAAATACTAGTGTTACCCCCTCCCCCAAGGGAGTGTTGTTATCAAAAAGTACATTGTGAAACCTAAAGTGCCATATCCCATTGTCCTATGTTGAAGCCATTTCTGTTTTATTTTAGCTAGTATTTTCATGTTCTGATTTGGGAAAGATGGGTAGGAGGAATTGTAGAATATTTCCCTTTCTGTTTTGCTTGAACAACATTATTAGCTTGCATAATGAACTAATTAGGAGTCTGAAAGAAAAAAGAAAGGAGTCTGAAAAATTGAAGGTCATATACTAATTTCTAAGTCTAAGTGTTATCCTCCACTTCTTATTTTCCCTCACTCTACATATCAAGTCAGTAACAAAATCTTGTTTTTATCTTAAACATCTCTCAAATATATCCACTTCTCTTTATTCATATGGATAGAACCCTATTTAGAACCTCATTGCCTTTTTCCTGGACTACTGAAATAGCCTGATGATTGGTCTTGATGCCTCAAAAATTACCTCTTCTCCAATCTGTTGTCTACACAGCTACCAAAATGATTTTCCCAAAGTGAGGGCCTGCCCGTGACACTGCCCTAATCAAATTCTCTCCACAATAGCCCTGTGAGATAAACAGTGCAAATATTATCCCTATTTTTTCAAATCAGGAATGTGAGGATCAGAAGGTTAACTGACTTGCCCATAGTCAGTCACACAGCCAGGCAATACAGGGACCAAGAATAAAGCCAAAGAATTCTAACTTCAAGTACAATTGTGGTCCTTCCATTCTATCAAGTTGCCTCTGAGAAGGGGTATTAAAAATAATAACAACTTGCATAATCCATGTCATGTACATAATTCACATAATTATAATTAAGTTTTTTATGGCTTCTACAAAAACTACTAACCCAACCCTGACATTCAAAGCAACTGTAACTGTCATCAGCAGAAGTCCCAGGCCAGTTCCTGTGAGGGGAACAGGCTCCCAGACAATATATGTGTTTAGGAGAATAGGTGAAGCGCAGGAGCCAAATGATTAGAGATTGATTGATCAGGGAACATTGCACAGAAAGGAAGTCATTCTGGGGGAAGACTAGATCTACACTCAAACCCAAGTCCACAGAAATGCCTCAAGTTAGCTGGGACACCATCCCACTAGTTTATGATAATGATTGTCTTCTTCCTTTCATTGCCCTTCCCTCCCTTTACCACATGCAGACCTGGGCATTGCGTGGCCGCTGAGCTGCAGTTTCCGGAAGGTTTCTTCATACTGTGGTAACTCCACATATGTGATCAGCCACTGTACCACCTCATCCACGGTCCAGTTGTATACTGTGGGAGAAAACAGGCAGGTGCCATTAGAGAGAATAAATCAAGCAGAGCATCTCCTCCTCAGCCCCTCAGAAGACAGATAGGGGAGTATCTTCTGTATAGCTGACTCTTTTCACCTGGGGCTAGGGTGATTCCTCTCAACCCCTTTTCAGCTTCCCATCCCTAAGCCCTTCTTCAGCACAGTCCAAGTGAGCTTGAAGGCCAGCACTTGCCCACTGCAGGGGTCTATGGCTATAGGATGTTCTAACTACCTGCTGTCACTTTTCTACAATCTCTCCTCTGAGATGTCACAATATTCTGTACCTCTTCTAGACCAGGAATCATATTCTGCCTGGCACCTAACTTATGTGATTATGTGTCTTCCTACACTAAAGTTCTCCTCAGGTGGCAAGTACTCTTGAAGGGCTATGGAAGTAGAGCAGGTTTTACCAAGTCAGAAAGTTTAGGCCCAAAGATGGACCAGATGTCTGAGGTCTGAAGGCTTGACTAGAGAAAAAAGGTTTATTATCAGAATGCTGGCCAACAGGGGAGGATACCTTTCTTGGTCAATGCAACACATGAAGACTGTCTACAAAGGCATAGATGATTGGAAATTGTGTGAGTGAAGGGAAACTGGAAGTGGTTTTCAAAGTATACTCTGAGGACCCCTTGTGTACTAGTGGAGACGCTTTAAGAAACCCTTGAGGTCAAAACTATTTCCATAATAATAATAAAATGTTTCAATTTCTAAAATAGTAAATATTAATAGATTTAATCCACATAAACAACGCTCTTTGAGGGGTCCTCTATAATTTGAAGAGCATAAAGGAGTTCTAAAACTAAAAAGTTTGAGAACCCCTGATCTACACAAAACAACATCTACAACAAAAACATGAATCTCATGAATTAAATTTAAAACATACATATGTCTTATATCTCCCCTACCAGACTAAGTTCTACAAAGGTAACTACCACATTTTACTCATTTTTGCATCTCACATAGTGCCTAAGGTAGGACTGGACAGGTGGGCTTAGTACAGACTTGTTGGATTGCATTGAAGATAAACACAATTCTTTCTCATAGTAAGCCTGGGAACCTATTGGTGTTCAATATAGAAGTTCTGATGCTAAAGCAAGGGACCAGGAAATAAGTTTCAAGAGGGAGGCTGTACAGGACACCCAAAGGGCAAAGATGATGTAAACAAATGAAGACAAAGGCAATAGTTACCAGGCACGTCTGAACAAAGACAGAGGGATGAGCAGGGGAGAAGGAAGAAACTCTGGGAGCTTGCAGAAGGACTGGGGCTGAATCTAGAAGGGAAAGGAAGAGAGATACAAATCCAGTTCTCAGGGATGGATTTGGACCCTAGGATTAAAAGAAGATAATAATGATGCTTCAATACTTCAAGGACTCATAATTTCATCAGTATGAATCCTGACTTCACCAACTCAGGCTCCAATACCTTCCATACCTTAGCAGATTGTTTCATGAGTTGTTATGATCATAAAAATTCATCACTTTGTGATGAACCTCTTCATACACAGCTAAGATTGTTCTTGAGAGAAAGACCCATAGTCCACCACTAGGCCTGAAACCTTTCCAGTACTGCAGAACTTCCCAGAGTTTGTATACCACTAATACAACCTTTGAGAACCCAGGGTCACCAATGAGCCAACAGAGAAAGATTTCAATCGAGGAATAATTAATAATAATAATAACAACAGCTCCCATTTATATGGTGCTTTGTGGTGTACAAAATGCTTTCATTCTTACATTCAGCAAAAATTTACTAAATATCTATTCTTCAATGAATTATGGTAGACACTGGGAAAGACAGATAAGATAACTAAAAAGGGATGCTTTCCAATCCTTTATTTCATTTGGGCTCTATAATAATTCTGTGTACCAGATAGTACAAGTATTATTACTTTTTTTTACAAATATGGAAACAGAGGTTCAGAGAGATTAAATAATTATAATAGATCACATTTATAAAGTGATTTTAGAACTACAAAGTGCTTTTCTCAAAACAACCTTATGAGGCAGGAAGACTAAATATCATTATGCCCATTTTCACAAAATCATAGCATGTTTGGATGAAATAAATCTTAAGATCATCTATTCTACCTCTATCATTTTATAGATGAAGAACCTGAGGCTTATAGGAGTTAAGAGACTTACTCAAAATTATGCTCCAAGTACATAGCAAAGCTAGAACCCAAGTCTTTTTGTTCTATGTCTAAAGCTGAGGTTCATAGAGGTAATATGAATTACCCATAAACAAGATAGAAGCTGAACTCAGACTTCTTCCTTCTAAATCCTGTGCTTTGTCTTCTATATAATGCTGCTTCTCCAAGTAGAGTCACACATTTAGGAAATGATGGAGCAAGGTATTAGAAGGTGTGAAAGGGCAAGGCCAGAGATAGGTGCCTAGAAAAACCCAAGAATGGAAGAAAGGATTTTGTGCCCAGAGAAGAACAAACTCAGAACGATCTAGGTGAATGATCATTTCTTCCATTCCCTGGAACAATACTGGGAGAGCTTGATGCTATAGGCTGAAGAGATAGGAAGACATGACTCAAAAAGGCAAGTGGTGACCTGTGGAGCCCTCTCCTGCTGCCAAGGAAGCAACCTCCCTCCTCCACAAAGGGAACTTTCAGTTCTGCCAGCAGAAGACAGAGGGTAGGAGATAATTTTCAGTTTCAGAGAAAGGCCTGGGGCCATCAGCTATTCAAAGTTGATCTCTTAAGTTCAGGCCCAGGCAGGCAGCCATAATACCCAAAGTCCCCTTGGTTTAGGCAGCAGATCTCACACCATTTGAACAGGAAAGTGTTTGTCATTTCCCTTGATATCACCTAGGGCACACAGAAAGGAGCTTTCTTTCTTTCTTTTCCTGACACAAAGTTCAAGTTCGTGGAAAGGTCTGACATCTGGCAACAGCTAGCTCTTTGGCATCTAACTCCCTGACCTTCAGTTTCCTCATCTGTAAAATGATGTGGTTAGACTAGATGGTCCCTGAGGTCTACTCCAGTTCTACATCTGTGACCAGATGATCTAGATAAGAGGTGTCAAACACATGGCACACAACACTTCCAAGTGCAGTCAAAGCAATTAAAATGTAATTGGGAAATATTTAATAAAATAAATAAAAACACAATAAAACATAGCTAATACCCCATTTCAAAAAGTCAATATGAAGCCCACTGGGATCCTTGTGTACAGATTAGTGGCCCCCATCTGAGTTTGACACCACTGATCTAAATAATAAACACAATAACAATAGTAGTCATTTTTTCCCCAGGCATCATGACAGTGAATAGAGTGCTGGCCTTTAAGAAAACCCAGATCCTACTTCTGACACTAGCAGTGTGACCTTCCAGAGCCTCAAACATCTACCTATTATTTGGATTTACTTAAGTCACACACTAGGCATTCCCCAGGTTGATGAAATTAGTATTTCTTATATTTGCATAATTTTCCTAATGTATATGCTCTGGATTTCTCCTTTGCTATCATATTCTGCCATGTAACTCACCTGTGCATTTGCCTCAAAAATACAAAAAAAAAAAATAGGGGCAGCTAGGTGGTGCAGTGGATAAGCTCAGTCCTTGGAGTCAGGAGGATCTGAGTTCAAATCCGGCCTCAGACACATGACACTTCCTAGCTGTGTGACCCTGGGCAAGTCACTTAACCCCGACTGCTTCACCAAAAGACAAAAAAAAAAGAATACATATATAAAAACCACTTATCAAGAGTCTATTTTGTGATGATAAATAAATCAAAAAAGGCAAATGTCTCAGGAAGACAGAGACCATTAGAGTCTAGAGTCTAAGAAGATGATAGGTACAAATAAAGTACTATGTGAAGTTCAACCAATCAATCAATCAATCAATAATCATTTATTAAGGGCCAACTATGTTCTAGGCATTGGCTAAGCACTGAAAACAAAAAAGGCAAAAACAGTCCCTTCTCTCAAAGAGTTCACAGTGTGGTGGGGGAGACAACATGCAAACAACTATGTACAAACAAACTATATACAGGATAAACAGGAAATAGTCAACAGAGGGAAGACATCAGAATAAAAGGGGATTGGAAAGACTTCCTATAGAAGGTAGGATTTTAGCTGTGACTTGAAGGAAGCCTGGGAAGCCAGGATGCATATGGGGAGGGAAAGAATTCCAGGAGTGGGGGATGCCAGTGAAAATGCCCAGAGTCTGTATTTAGAGTCTCTTGTGTGAGGAAGGAGGACAGTATAATTGGATCACTGAATACCTGAGTGATATAGGTATACAAAGACTAGAAAAATAGAGGGAAGGAAGACTATGAAGGACTGTGAACACCAAATGGAAGGTTTTGTATTTGATCCTGGAAATGAAAGGAAACCATTAGAGGTTATTGAGTACTAAGGTGACATGGTCAGACCTAAGAGTACTTTAGCAGCTGAGTAGAGTTGGACTGAAGGGGAGACTGAAGGAATGACTTGTGGCAGACAAACCCACCAGCAGTTTGCAATAGTCCAGGCTTGAGGTGATGAGGGCCTGCACCAAAATGGTGGTAGTGTTAGAGAAGAAAATGGGGCATACACAAGAAATGTTTTGATGATGCAATCAACAGGACTTGGCAAGTGATTGGATATGGATGGTGAGAGAGTGAGAAATCAAGTATGACAAATAGGTTACAAGCCTGGGTGGCTGAGAAGATGGTGGTGCCCTTAACAATAACAGGGAAGTCAGGAAAAGAGGATAATTTAGGGTAAAAGATAATTCAATTTCAGACATGTTGAGTTTAAGATGTCTATAGCAGAGGTGTCGAACTCATGACTGTCCATATAACTCCTAAGTGTAGCCTGAACCAGATTAAAATGTAATTGAGAAATGTTTAACAAATCAAAATACAGTACAACATAAATAATGTTAATTTGTGGTTTTCTAAGTCAATATATTGACTTAGAATGCCACAGATAGACCACAGGTATTCATTTCTATTTAATTTTTATACTCCTGGGATATCCAGGTCAAGA